GGGCCGCTGCTGGGAGTAAGTGTGCGAGGGCTCGGCCGGACCCGAGAGCCGTGCAGCGAACGATCTCGCTCGCTTCTGCGGCCGTTTCCCCTCCTGAACCTATTCCCCACCACGCCGGCCATGTCGGGATTTTAAAAGTTTGGGGGCAGCACGTTTTTCACTCAACTTGAATCCACTCACACACGTTTCCCTTATGTTGCCTTTAAAAAGCACCAACTTGTGTTATCATCATTATCATCTCATCCGGTGGTCGGCAGACTGTGGCCCTGGATCCAAATCCAGCCTGTTTTGGAATGGGCCTGCGTCCTAAGAACTTTAAGTTTTAAAGTGGAAAATGTAAACAAACAAAGAACCTGTTAGCCTTTCAGGGGAATAGTTGCTCCAAAGGCTGTGGATATTGCCTCTTGACTTGACAAACCACAATATTTACACTAGTTTCTGGCTCTTTATAGAAAAAAAAGTTTGCCAACCCCCGAATTTATCTTTTCTAGAATAATTTCTTTTACGTTTTTGGCCTCTTGTGTGTGACTGATGGCCTCACTTTTATCCGAATAGTCTTTCAGTAGCTGCTAACCCTTATGGGGTGTGTAGTGTTGCAGGCATACCAAGTTCTTTAATTCTTTCAAAACCATGGGAGTTAGGTGCTCTTATTATCCTTATTGTTCAGATGAGACAATTGAGTTGTAGATCGGTTATTTAAAGGCCACACGTAAGGTTTTGGACACAAAGTGACACTAAGCTGTTTAATCTCCACCCTCTTTGGGATGTTTAAGAATTAGAAAAGTGGTCTGTTGCATTCTGAAATTTTGTAGCTCTCCTTCTAAATATGTACATGCATGTTTTCTTAATAGTCAACATTTCTTTTTTAGTGCCCACTTTGTGCAACACATTTTGTAGACTCTAGCACTGTGGGGCATCCAAATATGAGACATGGGTTGATGCCCTCTAGTTTTCTCTTGGATGGTGGAGACAAACCTGTGCCCGTGAGGTAATGCCAGGGAGTAATGGGTATGGACTGTTATCCTGGTTAACCTCCAGTGTCTAAATGGAACCATTGGTATTAGCGCAAGAACCCTTCTCCAAGCAGGAAAAGTGAGAAGGAAGTCAGTCCTAAAGGGATGTGTGTGTGTGTGTGTGTGTGTGTGTGTGTGTGTGTGTGTAGTAAGGTTAAGTAAGAAAGTTGAAATTCACCTGTTGTTTATTTTTATTTTTTTTTACCTGGCAAGTCATTACTTAAATGCTTCAATAACACTGATACTTTTTGCCACAATTTATTAAGCTGTACAAACATTTGAAGGAACTGCCTGGGAGGTTTGTCGTCTACCTACCCTTTTCTCTCCTCTTCCTTCTTCCCTATTTCTATCTCTCCCTCTATCCTTTTCTCTCTCCCTCTCTCCCTCTATGTATATCTTTATCTATATCTAAGTTAGGAACTTAGCAGAGTATGTGCTTCATCTAGATCTTTGACTGGTGACTAATGAATTTTGATTTGCTTAACAAATTATATCACCAATGCAGAGTTCTATGGATCTAGTTAAAAGATTGATGAGTTTTAGGCCTATGTTTTATAAACATGTAAGTTGCAGACCCTTTCACCATTTGTAGCTTGATCTTTTGTGTTCTAGGTTTGTTATTGTGATATGAGCCTATTTGGCTTCTGTTTTTTAAAATGGTAAGGAGTAGTAAGTCAATTATCCGATCTGGATTTTGCTTTTCCTTTTGAAAGCAAAATCCAGTGATGGGATTCTATTGCCAAATTTGGCAGGCATTAGAAGTGCCTATGAACAATATCCTAAATACATTGAAGGAAAAATTTGAGGAACTAACAAATCATCTGTGGTTTTTAAGATTTGGGAGCTGACAGACATGTATTTCTTCTCTGTAGTGGTTAAAACTCAACATGAGGGTTGCTTTTTCAAACAATAGCAATTCCAGTAAGGTGGGGTTTATTTTTTTCCTTTTTTTTTTTTTTGGTAGTATGAGAGAGCAACGACTTAGTTTTAAGTGGAAAAACTCAGGAAGTTAATTGTAAATTCGCATCTATCTGAAATGATCTATAATAATAAGAGTGTAATATATTAATTAGACCAGGCAGCCAAACGAACTTCCAGATGTCATTCCAGAGGTCCTTCTGGATGAAGCCATGGCAGAGGCGGTGAGGGGTGATCAGGCAGGCAGGCAGAGTGGTTAGGGGCAATCAGGCAGGCAGGCAGAGGAGGTGCTCAGGCAGGCAGGCAAGTAGTTAGGGGTGATCAGCAGGCACACAGAGGGGCTAGGGGTGATCGCACAGGCAGGCTAGTGGTTAGGGACAATCAGGCAGGCAGGCAGAGGTGGTTAGCAGCCATCAGGCAGGCGGGTGAGTGGTTAGGGGTGATCACGCAGGCAGGTGAGTGGTTAGGGGCAATCAGGCAGACAGGCAGAGGGGTTAGGGGCGATCAGTCAGGCATGCAGAGGTGGTTAGGGGCAATCAGACAGGCAGGCGAGTGGTTAGGGGTGATCAGGCAGGCAGGTGAGCAGTTAGGAGCCAGGCGAGCAATTAGGAACCAGTGGTCCCAGATTGCAAGAGGAATGTCTGATTGCCTCTAAGGATCGGGCCTAAATCTGTAGTCAGACATCCTCCAAGGGGTCCTGGATTGCAAGAGGGTGCAGGCCTGGCTGGGGGTTCCCCCTTCCCCCCCCCCCCGCCCCCCCGCCACACACACACACTGACTAGACTTGTGGGATAATCATTACAACAATGATCCCATTTAACTTTTTACAGACATTATTTTTATAGCATTTATTATTTTCCTTTCTCTTTTTGTAAAGGCGTTATTTTGTATAGCAGTTTTAGGTAGAACTGAGTTGAAAGTACAGAGTCCTATCTACCTCCACCCCCATCTGCAGCCTCCCCCACTATCAACATCCTGTCCGACCGTGGTATGTTCTATAAACTTATATTGACATGTCATTATTGCCCAAAGTCCATAGTTTACAGTGGGGTTCAGTCTTTGTGTACATTCTATGGGTTTTGACAAATGTGTAATGACATGTATCCACCATTGTAGTACCACACAGAATAGTTTTACTGTCTGGAAAATTCTCTGTGCTCTGTCTATTCATCCTTCCTTTCCCTCCCAGCCCCTGGCAACTACTGAACTGTTTACTGTCTCTATAGTTGTACCTTTGCAGAATATCCTATCATTGGAATCATGCAGTATGCATATGTGGACTTATCAGATTGGCTTCTTTTACTTAGTAATATGTACTTAAGTTTCCATAGCTTTTCATGGCTTTTTAATGATGAGTAATATTCCATTGTCTGGATGTTCTATAGTTTATCCATTTACCTACTGAAGGACATCTTGGATACTTCCAAATTTGACAGTTATGACTAAGGCTGTTTTAAACATCTATGCACAGGATTGTATGGTAATAATGTATTTAGTTTTGTAAGAAACTGCCAACTGTCTTCCAAAGTGGCTATACTATTTGCATTTCTACCAGCAATGAATGAGAGAGAGTTCCCGTCCCAAATCTTCTTCAGAGTTTGGTATTGTCAGTGTTTTGGCTTTGGGCCTTCTAGTAGGTGTGTAGTGAATTACTTTTCTTATGTATATAAAAATTATCATCTGCCTATTTTTTCATATGCCTTCATACTTCTGTACGAACTCCTTTCTCTGGTAACTTGATTCTGTAGGTGGTTTCTGGATATCTGTGTTTTTTAAGCTTTGAAGATGATTCTGTTATGAAACCAGAGTTCAACACCACTTCTAGACACACTGTGAAGGATGCTTGGCACAGAGTAGGTCTTTAAGAAAGGTCTGCTGAACTGAACTAAATAAGTTACAATTAAGAAACTTTAATTTACTAAAGTCTCAAATGAGGATTTAAATGCAGTTTTGTCCTCCTAAACTTTTCTTATGCATTTACTCACCATGTTGTCTCTGTAATAATATATTGATGATGAAGATGATGTTCCCACACTTGTATAGCATTCACTCTGCAAGCTGCATTGCAAACCAAACAGGTTAGGTGAGTTGAAATTTCAACAGCAGCAAGTCAGCACGGATCCATCATATTGGCTAACAATTCAGCAACCTTGAATTAGGAGATCAGAAAGTATTGGATTTTACTTTTAAAAATCTACATGATCCACATTTCATCAGTATTGTGGATTAAATAGGTATTTGTGAGATAGCCTGATAACCTTACCATTTACCCTGTTATTCTTATGGAAAAGTATATTCACAAATTTCAAAAAACTACTTCACCTCCAGTATACTAATAACCTTTGTAAGCTTATTTGTAAATTGGAGTCTGCCTAGAGAGCTTATGGCCAAAATCAAGTATATTTTCTCAAAGTTGTCCTTTTTTTAAAAAAATATATATTTCTATAAAAAATACATATTTTTTAAATATTGATTTCAGAGAGGAAGGGAGAGGGAGAAAGAGATAGAAACATCAGTTATCGGCGCCTCCTGCATGCCCCCTATTGGGGATTGTGCCTGCAACCTGCATGTTTCCTGACTGGGAATTGAACCAGGATCTCCTGGTTCATAGGTGGATACTCAACCACTGAGCCACACTGATCAGACCAAAGTTGTCTTTTCTTAATATCAGAAATTGGTCTTGGGTAAATTCCAAGTGAAATAATAAACATCTTATGTCAATTAACTTTTGCTCTTATGAGGAATAAGATAAACTAATGTAAAGTTATGGTTGAGTCTCAGTGTTGGTCATTGAGCTTTGAAGTGTATTCTGGACCCGATACTGGGAAGCTCTCTAGATAAGAAAACTTTATGGCTTGAAGACTGCTTTACAGTAGCCAGCCTATTCAATTCAGGTCTTAATTTTGGATTTTATTGACTTTACACATGCAAACACACACACACACACACACACACACACACACACACTGAGGAATTTTATGCAAATCATGACTAAAATAGATCTTGTGTTTCTTTGGGTCTGTGCATTTTCCCATAACACATACTCAGATCTCAGGTGGTTTTCTATTTTTCTCTACCATGAAAGTTTGAATTGGTGTATTTTTTATTAATTGTTGATAGAGCAAACTAGATAATCTTATGTGAAAGCACTGAAAATTATAAAGTACTGTACAAGGAAATTTTTATTCTCTTAGGCCTTAGTGGGCTATGTAATTTATACTGGAAAAACAACAACACACAAACAAACAAATTTTACCTCTTTTCTGTTCTTACATTTATAGGAAGCAGACTAAATGGGAACATTGAATTATTGAGTTATATTTGTCTACGATATTCAGAAATTTCTCTGGAAAAACATCTTAAGAAAAATTAACTGGTGTTGGTTTTTCTGTAAATACATATAGGCAAAAATGAAATGAGTGGTACCATTCTATTCTATCTATTTCAAGGTCCAGTAGCTATTCTGCTTTTACTTTATTCAGGTTTATTTTTAGGATTTTGGAAATAATAAACAAATAGGTTAGAGACCTTGATTCAAAACATCTAAGCATTTCTCCTGGTAGCATAAGAAAATCTTCATTTTGTTTGACCTCAATAAATGCCAAAAATGAATATGTGGCAAACAAGTCACCAACAGTTCCTTTATGTTGTTATGTTTCTTCTGGCACAAACTTTTGATCATAATGCATGAAACATTCAATTCAAAACCAGAAAATCAAAGATAAGGGAACCACTTTGTATCAATACAAAGGCTATATAAAAACAGAGAGCCGTGCTCCCGGTCAAGAAACAACGTGAAGAATTTTAATAAGAGGTATTTTTATAGTACCTGAAGAAAACTGCTGTCACTTTAGAGCTGGTCACGGAGGAGAGGAGTGACTTCAGCATTATCCTTCAGCCTGGGTATCCATCAGGGTTTCCTTTCTGAGTTCCTGCCACATGATACCCAATTCATTTAATAATAAAGTTCTTGTTCTGGAGTACTCAGTTTAGTTAGCTTTTCTGTTTCTTAATATTCTTTCTCTAGATGGCTGAGCATAAATGAATTTGTTATTAGATGTCTAGTATCAACATAACAGTTGCTAAAGTAATGGGTATTAATCACAATTGCTCTTGGCTGTAAGTAACACAAAAGTGTAGATGGCAGCTTAATCAAATAGGTTTTTCTTCTGTAATAGAGGATCACAGGGGCAGTCAGTCCAGGCTGGTGCAGCTACTCCAGGAATGGGCTCTTCTGTGCTCCTTGCTCAGCCTTTGCATATGGTTTTCATGTCTGTAGTCGTGGATGGCTGCTGTACTTTGAGGAGTCAGATTTAAGCAGGAAGAAAGAAAGGTGGAGGGCAAAAGGTGAATGCCAGTTGAGCCAGGTCCTTTTTATCGGGAAGTCAATCTTTCCAGAAGCTCTACTCTGTTTTAAAATATAGATTTTATGGTTTTAATCAGGTATGGTGAGGCCAACTGATCAGGAGATGGTTGCCATTGAAAAGACAATTTATTACTCACAGTTCCCAAGGCAAAGAAGGGCACACCATGCAGGGCCACACTAGGGAACCCTAGGTCAGTGGAAGGCAGAAGGTGGAGAGAGCTAGGGAAACTGGAGGGGAAAGCCTTTATTGTGGCTTTCTCCTGAATGAATGGGCAAGGCAAGGAAGCAGGTTAGGATGGACTGGTTTGAATAATGTTATTGAGCTGAGGTCCCTTGGGGCTGCCCTTAGTTGTCTGATGCATAGCTCTGTGGTGA